TGTACATAAATTTGTGAACTCAGCTAGTGCACCCTGATCTTTTTGAAATTTAATCCAAAAAAAAATAATATTTGAAATCTTTAAAGACCCCAAACACTTTGTACATATACAGCACCACTACAACCCATTGAATTTCCATACCTTTCCGTTCCTTCGATAAAAAAAAAACCTTGTCGATGATGCTTGGCGCTGCTGTTGAATGTGACTTTTTGCTATTTGTTTGTCTCGTTTCTAAAATTTCTCTCTTCCATATTTTCGACAGCACTTTAAAATCACTATTCTAGGAAGGGTTTGCAATTGTTGGTCTATTGAATTATAAACGGAAAAATTGAATTTATTTGAATTTATCGGTTTTTTGAAAAGTGAATGAGCCATTTTAGTCGTGGAAAGATTCGTCATAATGTGAGACTTTTGTTTTTGCTTCTTCGCCATGGTAACAGCATACATTATTCGCTTTCAAATGCTCTTTTCTTGTTTCAAATTTTCAGAAAGGATTACTCAGATAAAACAAATATTTTGGGCAAAAAATCTACGTAGTTTTGCTTGTGCAAATTGGAAATTCTCCTAGAATATTCTACGACAATAACTGGTTTTGCAACTTCACAAAAGCCAAAAATATCAAATTATCCACAAAGGGTTATACGGTAGTATTACTGTAGGCCTACGGTAGCTATGCAATAAGATTTGTAGGACTACAAAAATGACTTTGACTATAAACGAGTTTCAAATTCAAGCCAAAGAAATTATGCCATGATATTATTTTGACCATTAAAAAATTTATTCCTCCTCTCCTTCTTCTTCTCAATTTTTCTTTTTTCTTAGCTTTCAAGACTTTCTCGCTCGTTGTCTGTGTGTGGTGTGTTTCGCTCACGCATTCTGCCCGACGTACGAACAGATCTGGTTCTATTGAGATACCAAATGAGAGGCAATTTCCAGCCAAGCCTCAAACTTCTCCTCGCTTCTCAACACACACTCTATTTTTCTACGGATACAACAAAATCTAGATATCGCTCTATTCGCCACTTCATGGCGTTGGTTATTTTTATTGGGGAAAAAGATGTGGTCTGACAGCGAAGAAGCGGAAGTTTCAAACTCAGCTGAGCTCTCACTTTTGCTCGAATTTCTACTTTGAATGTAAATTTATATTCAACTACTAGTTGCTAGTAGGCTATCCACAACTTTCTTCCTCTTGTAAAAAAGGCCTTTTATTTTGTTGAACCAAATTTTTATCGATAACGTATAACCGATTGCTAGACGAGCTCTCAAGCCTTTGCTTCAAAATAAAAAATAAACAAAAACGCACTGCAGAAAAAACTTATAGGACCTCTACCAAATAATTACCGTGTCTTCATAAAATTTTTTATTGATTGTCATTTTCAAAATTCCTCCGCATAGTTTCTGCTCTAAATCCATATAATCTGTCGACAAAGCATAGGGTGGTCGCGCAGCGGCGATGTGTGAGCCTCGAAAAACCGGCTCGCCGAGCCCGACCAAGAGAGGTCGGAACATTCATTCGACACAACCACTGGATGATATTTGTCAACGCTTCCAATATTATTCGAAAGTGTTTTGCGTGGTGCCCCCATTTTGGGAGCTCTCCGCTGATTTGTCACATCCTCTTTATCCTTTTTGTGTTAGCTTTTGAACATCACTTAAGGGTCTGGACTCATCATGCTTTTGCCTCGAGCACTCCAAGGCGCTTACTCTGTGATTTTTAACAACAAATTAAGCTCATTTTTGCCTGACCACATTTTTTTGTCGTTTAAAGAATCCTCTCAAAACTTTTCATAATCTTTTATCGTAGAATCAGAACTTCGATTTCGCCTTAAGTGCCATTTCTCTTTCGCAAATTTTTACAAAATCTGCATGGGAGCCTATTTTCAAATCTCTAACAATAACGTTATAAAAAAGAACATGATTGTCTTTAGTTTTCAATATGCAGACCTTTTATCACAAATTAATAGCAACTTTTACTCCAGCCATTGTGTCTTTTCGCTATTAACAAAGAAAAAATACCATACTTGTCAAAAGAGTCGTCTAATATAATATACAAGCAAAGTTCAACCAGAATTCCATAGAAGTTCTCCTTAAGGACATTTCTACTTGAAATTTGTCAGGTCTGTTCAAGGCTTGGGGAGTTAGGTTGGTGGATACCTAGCTAAACCAATACCCTCGCTTGAACCGCTCCGATTATCCTTGAGCGATAGCAGTCCCAACTGCTATTCACCTGGCATTCCATTTCATAGTCGCATAATTTACTTGCATTTGAATGCATCTTTTTTCGTTGTGTTGGGTACACTATCCCGTACCTTCTTTTGCTAACTCATTAAAGTACGGGCTTTCTTTGTTTCTTCGAATGTCTAGGACGACTGGCCCCACGCTAACAGTTTTCATACTTCAAATAGTACATCTTGAGTGTGAGATAAAGATAAAAGATAAGAAGTTTCTAACCTGAAACTTATTTTCACCTTCCAAACATAGTGATAAAAAATTTTTCGCGTATGAAAGTAATCAGTTTACATAAAAATGATTCTCATCTGTTTGAAGGAAATTGTTTGTTTATAAATTGACTGCTTTTGTTTGTTTCGTTTGTAAATTTATTATTGATTTATTTTGGGACCATTAAAGGCTAGGAAGCGCTTGGTGGAACATTGGTCTTCTTGTATTTTCCAGCATAAAATATGTAGACTAAAAGACAATTAACACTTTTGATAATGATGATTATAATTGATATTGTTCAGCCAAAATAGATAAGCGGCCTTGGCTGTAGCCTTTTTCAGGTTCGAAAAAGGTCGTAGATTTGTCGGAGATAGTACTGCAAATCTCACAAACCAATTTCAAAACCCTATATCTGATATCTGCATCTTGCATTATAGCAGCAACAATCATCATAATCCTCATCCAGTATGCAAAATTGAAGTAAAAGCTACATTATTTTAGTGTAAAAAATCTCTCGAAATGTATCCAAAAGCTGATCTTGCTGTTCGCGCGTGCAACCACATCTAAAAACGTTTCCAGTAACGATGCTTTGACAAATCGTTGTACTTGTGTAGTAAATGACAGCAATATGTATGGCACATTCCAAAGCCGCCACACTTCTCACATCGAAAACCTCATTATCCGAACGATTCTTGGAATTTCTTGACAATTTCAAAAGTGCAGGCATTTTGCTTGCACGAACTTGCAGAATCTGGATCCACTCAATGTGGTGGATTATGTACTTTGCATGATACGATGATATGCTCTATACTAACTTAACCTCAAGTGAATTCACGTGGAGAACTGATAATTCTATCTGCTCATACTTTTCAATATCATTGTTACTTTATTCTTTTGCATATTTATAATTTTATTTTGACCGAGACTCATCAGAGAAGCTAAAATCAGTGAGGATATGCACCCCAAAATTATGAATAGGTTGAAACATGAATCTTTTTGGAATCGAAGAAAAAACATTATAATTCTTGATGCTTTTTTTGAAGGATGCAACTTTTTAGCCTTATGAACGAAATTATTTTTTTTGAAATGTTAGGATTATTCTCTATTTTTGTAACTGCCACTGATAGTTGAAATAAATAATCGAAAATTTCTAACCACTATTTTGATGTAAATTTTGTCTTCTATACTGAGCAGTGATGAAGTAAATTTGATTTTCTAGGGTGACGACTATATGTCGAAAAAAAAGGGGGGGGGGCAGCGGACATATGCGACAAAGCACACATATCCATACATACATTACAGACACTGCAAATTTGTACCAGCTGTCCGCGCGGGAGCCTATCGGCGACATATGGTCCCCTACCTAATTTTGTAACATCAACTAATCGTTTATATATTTATCCTCTGATAATATTCCACTATTTTTTCTTGACAACTATTTATTTTCGTTCATTTTACGAGACCTTTCTAGATCTCGCTGGGCCCGTTTAATTATTTATTTGTTTAATCATAATTATTGATTTCTTTGAATATGGACATTACTTGGTTTGAGGCAACCAACACCTTGTCTTCGCTTCCTCTCGTATTCCCCCTTCCCTCATCCTTTCTCCCCTGCCTGGCTTCTTACCAAATTCAGTAAATCTTTCTAAGCGGCTCACCACGCGCGCGCGGCGCAACTTCGAGGTCAGCTTTCGCCTCGCTCTCCCGGTTCTGCTCCTCTTCGTTCGCGAAGAAGCGGAGCGCTAGAAGTCCCACAGAGCGGATGGTGGTCTCAGTGTGTCGATCGGTTCGTGACGAGACGAGAAACTATCGTTTTTTCGTTATTTGGAACCAGTCCCTTCGCTCAATGACCGTAATCTACATGATTTTATGTGTACCTTTTATGTCACTCGGAACGTTGAATAAATTAACTCAACACCTACAACTTTATATGATTTGTTGCGATTTTTGAAGTCCGGTGTGATTAGGCGCAACGTAGCATTGATATCCGCCTCGACTATCGTTTTTGGGAAGCCTCTAAATTCATTTCTTCATGGCTTTCTCGCTATGTCACTAGAGACCGTATAGCTACAGAATGCCTACAGTACTCCTACCGTGTACCTATGCTATTTGTTTTGAAAAAGAACAGATTGATTAGCTGTGACTAAGAAATAGGGCCCTTACAGATTCTTTTGTTTTGGGGACTCGTGTATTCCTCTTTAATGAGCTATTTCACATTTCAACGGATACCGTATAGCTACAGTACCCCTACAGTTGCAGTACCTTTTCGCGGTCACAATCTCGCTGTGATTGAGCCTAGGATAATGTTAACCTCAGTCTCGATCTCTTTCTATGGTTCCTCTACTCATTATCGATTACCTACCTATGTTACCATATATCTACAGTACACCAACGCTGTATCTACACATCTTAGTGTATCTACACATCTTAGTGTATCATCTGCATCAACCCCTTTAGAATTCTGTATCCATGTATTGATCGCATTGCGCCAGAATATCTACCGTACAACTACCGTATACCTACCGTACTCTTACCGTATACCTACAGTGCTCCTTTTCCAGGAACGATAGATACAGTGCTAGTTTTTTGAATTGTGATGCATCGGATGTCTCGAGCTGTTTGACATGGATGGAGACGAAGAAACGATAAATATACAAATCTTCGTACCGGAGCTTCAGATTCGGGTAGGTTTTCATAACTTCCCAATCAGTATTCCTGGTCCCAGTCTTCTGTGTGCTCCCCTATGATAATCGCGCATGAAGCATTTATTTGTACAAAGGCTTTTCCTTTCTAGAAGTGCCTCACTGTTGGTCTCGACGATTTCGTATGGGATGTGAAACGCAAGCTGCTTGCTACCTTGCCACAGGTTGGAAAATTTTTTTAAAGTTTTTCAGGCCATTTCTTCTTATTACAGTTGAAGGACGACTAGATCGGATATAGAAATCTGCTACAGAAGTAGCAAGGGTCACACCATTGCAAAATTTTCTCGCATGGGTGTAGTTTCCTTGAGAAACGATAATTACACGCTTTTTATCGTGCGCATACAGCAGATGTTTGAATTCGTCCACAAATTGCACGCTTTTTGATTGAAGAGTCCTGTCTTTTCTCGTGACCAGTAAGAGGAGTCTGGAAATTCAAGATATTCAAATATGTTTTCTATTAAATCCAGATTTTCACTGTCAGAGGATAAATTTCAGTGGTAGTGGAGAAGATAGGGTTTCTAGAAGAAAATTTTGGAGATTGAGGGAAAGTTTGAATGTCACGACCAGAAATGCATGCGCATGAATACTCATGTTTTATATCACTGAACATAAGTGGAACAATATGCAAATTCTATTTTTGGAATATTATGAATGTAATCATATTTGATCTACCAAAATTTCATGATATGGAGGATTTTTTAGATTTTTCGGAAGAAAGATCCTTTTCGAAACTGTAAAGTTTTCTCGCTACTTCTCTTTTTTTCTTGAAAACCTTCAAAATTTCTTTTATCATTTGACGTCTAATTCAACTCGAGTCGAAGTGTCTAATCATTTCGGAAATCATCACAATAATTTTTGAGCTGTGTTGAGTGCGTTTGCAGACAAACACATAAACGCGCGTAAAGTATAGGTTTTTCCAAGGCAAATTTTCTAAAATTATGCTACTGAATGCTAATTTCTAATTAGAGTGTATGGAAGGACGAACTAATTTATTGAGGAAGGTTCCTCTTCTTAGCCGACGAATTTTTGGATTGTACGCGCAAATATGTATTACGGTGCAACTACACATGTTCGCTTTTGCATTGTTTGTACTATAAATGTTCTGTTAGTTTTGATCAACGAATTTTTGGATTATACGCACAATCGTGCATTATGGTGCAATTGCACACATGGCCATTAGAGCCCATTTCACTATAAACGCAATCTTATCGATTTTTCTCTGATTTCAGGCTCTGCCGCAGTCTTTCAACTACGGTCTTTTCCTGCCGCCATGTGATGGTCGAGCCGGCAAGTTCCTCTTCGAGGACCGGACCGTGCGCGACTACCCATTCCACGATTGCGTCCCTTACCTCGAGGTGAGCCCTTCTTCCTCCCTTCCCCCCGGCTGATCTTCATGGTCCCAATGTTCACAGCTCTTTCGCGGTTGCTCTGATTGCGCTCTTTCGACCGAGCAGAGTGAACTGTCAGGCTGTTCGTCTTTGCGATCGCCAATCGCGCATAATGTGCTGTTTGTGTCTTTCCGCGCGCGCGGATGGGCGCAAACAAGCCGCGCGGATGCCTTAGGAAACGCACACGCGCTGCCTAGCCTACGAAACTTGATACAGTGCTGCGCTACGGGACCGAATTCCCCATTTTTTGAACAGTTTAGAGCAGCAACAATGATGAGGAACAAGTCTTTTCAGCTCAAATACAAGAAACGGGTCTACAAAATGCTTAATCTCGACGAGAAGCATTTGAAGAGTTTGCATAGTAAGGTTGGTTTGCCTTTTATTTATTTTTGCAAAGTATTTGCTCAACCTTTTATGACCGGTCGTCTATACCACTGCTTTTTTGATTGAAGAGATGGGTAAAGATTTTAAGAACATTCGATAACTTTAAAGCTGCTAAAATTCCCTCGCTTTCAAACTTCCAGCAAGATCTTCTCTTCGAGAATAATTTAAAAAATGAAAATGCAGTATTTAAGAGGCTATAAAATTTAATTTCAAACTTCATTTTGTTTGTTTTCAAAAACAGAAATTAGAACACCTACGTGCTTGAAAAATGAGCGCCGTAAAAATTTTGCTTTATCATAATTTTATGTGAATAAGTCGTCCCACGCGCTTCTAATGTTTTCTGGAATGTCTTGAAAGCAAATGCCAGACTGATGAATTGCTGATGGACACAATCCATTTGTTTTGACATTCAGAAACGATTACTGTAATAATTTGCGGAGCGGGGGAGTCTTCCCTATGATGGACAGCGTTTGGGGACATATTCACTTCCCGAACTGGAAGTATGTATATCGCTCTTGGATTTTGTGAGAGCATTTCATATGCGCAGAGCTTCTCTGAAAAATCTTCTTGAGAAAAGGAATTTTCTACTTTACATGAACTTTCTGAGTTTCCACTTGAGCACCAAATGCTTTCTCAGTGAGTTCAAAATTGACAAAAGTATTTCAATACGACAAAACTCCGCATAATTTAAAGAGAGGGAGAGGGCCAGTGATGGGCTAGGAATGGGAAGGAGGGGGGAATGGATGATTGTAAACTTTATCTATCAAAGCTGAAGTTTTCAGGAACATCCCAATTTTAGTCTGTGTTTGTATATGTCTTTTGTCTTTATGCCTGTCCACACTTTACGTTTGTTCCAAAAAAGAAATTTATTTAGTATGAACCGATGCGAACCACACTTGGTCCACATACACTTCGGGGCGGGCAGGTACCGTAGGCTACTTCTTTTATCGATCAGTATCGATTTTGTCGATTTCTTGCAAAGTTTCACCTATGAGGCTGGGAGTTGGTATAGGGAGAAGTGAGCATGTTGATTACGAGAATATTATTGTCGGGGCCGGGCGGCTGGGTTTGCCAGCTGGTATCAACTAAATTTGGATATCGCATCTCTATTCCAGAAAAATTAGCGTACTCCCCCCCCCCCCCAACCCCACCTGCACTTTAGCTACCTGCCGACAGTCGCTGTTTCAGAAGTAAATATGGTTGAAAAACTGCTTTTATCGAGGATTTTTCCGGAAGAAAATTCATGTTTTTTGATGGATTTTTCGAGATTTGAAATTGCATGCTGACATGCTGACAGTAGCCGCATGCTAAAAGTGGCTAATCTTGATGAGAAGTAAGCTCAAAAACGTTTTGAGTGCCATTTGTTTGGGCGAACAAGTACATGTTATTCGTTCTATAAACTTCCAAGTGTACGTAAAGTACTCTAGAAACTCATCAAAACACTTCAACCATGCTTTGCTGATGGCATTTGGCCGTCTTTGAGCGAATTTTTCAGTTAAACAGCAGCAATATTTTCGCAGAAAAATTCGCATAACGTGAAAGTTACACGAAATGTAAGACACAGAATTGTACACACTTTGCATTCGGACTTGTGGAAAAGAACAGGAATCGGTCTGGTGGTGGCCGAAAAAGCAGTGGTGGCGAGGCAGATCTTGTGAGGAGAGGCGAAGCTAGTTCGATGACGTGTCCTGCGACGAAGAGCGACGTTACATGCGTGTTTAAGCGCTCACAATGTTGATTTAAAGACGAATTTATTTCCAGGGAACGTTGAAAAAGTTCATGGAATACGTGCAGGCGAAAAATGCCGAAAAAGTCGAGAAACTTTGCACGCAAGGCTTGGACGCGAATTTTCACGATGCTCAGGTGAATTTTCTCCACACAGAAAGTACAATTCTCTGGTAGATGGCCGTTTTGCACTACAGTATCCGACAACCATCCTTTTGACTTGTCTCGTCTCGTTCGCGCGCGGCATTCCTCTCTGTTTTGATTGGTCAGATGCCACCGCAGGGCGTTTCGAGCTCGACTGCAGGTCTTGCATGGAAATGCCCTGATAGCATTACTGTAGTGCGAATGGGTCTACACCCAGATCGTTTCTAGACCGTTCCCAATAACTATTATATGTTTATTTAGGGAGAAACTCCTTTGACATTGGCTGCTGGTATTCCTTCAAATCGTGCCGTGCTCGTTGCCCTCGTTGGCGGTGGCGCACACATTGATTTTCGCAACTCCGAGGGTCAAGTTCGTTATTTGCTCGTTAATTTTACGAGATTTAAATATTGGGTCAATGTACTGTTGATGTTCAAAGTCTTAAACTTCATGCACCAAGAACCAATCTCAATAGTTTTGCATGGAGCAGATCCCATGTTATCACCCACGCCATATCGTTCATAAAGGGAATCCCGGGATGTGTGTTTTTTTTTTGAAAAAAACCCACAAAATTAACATTTTATGAAGAAACAAAATGGACTCGTACCAAATTTAACTGACGTTATACAAACTTCTATCTATTGGTATATGTACTGGAGGCATAATTTTTTTGTTTGTTTTACGCTGCAAGAAAGACACTTCCCTTCCATTTCCAAGAAATCCAAGCAAATCAAGTTGCAGACTGATTCCAAGAACCTGCATGATTTAAGCGATAGAATGAAGGTCTGAAGTGGTTAAACTCTGCGTTTCAGACTGTAAATGCAACTTTTACTATCTTAGTTTGGGTGAGTGAAAAAGTGAGAAGAATGCTGATAGCATTTCTGGCTAAACCTTAGTCAAGTTGTTGTGCAATTCATAAAAATATACGGAACTACAAGAATGTTCAATACGACAAACTTAGATCGTCAGTCACTAAAATATACAAGTAAACCAAATCATAATTATACTCAATTATGACTCCATTGTGGCCAGTTTTTCGCAGAGCAAATCTTTCTTTGGTCAGTTGAACAACTATTATCTTCTTCTTTGGACAAGTAGACAAATTTGATAAAGAACAAACATTGTGTGCTAGCTTTTTGTTTGAAGCATTCCCAAAAAAAGAAGATACAGCACAATTCGATTAGTTATGGGAGAACGCATTTAATTTTATTGAACCCAACTATACCTTCTTTGTCTTCCAGTCCGTTGTTCCTTTGCTAGTCGCGTATTCTTATTGTGCACTTTACGATGAGTATAAGGAAAAACAAGAGGTGATGAAAAAGTCGAAGATTGGCAGTCTTTTCTTAAATGATATTACTAGTGACTTTATACACAAGTTTTGCTCTATAAATTGTGAAAAGTTGTTTGAGATTTGCTTTTATTTGAATTCTGAAAAAGTCGTTTGAAATTTGTTTATTTTTTCAAATTATACAGGGACTTTTGTAATATTCACTAAATATTGTATTTTTTATACAGATTCAATTGATAAAATCAATATCGAAAGGTTTTCGGGCTAGACTTGGATTGCGAAAAGTTACTCGTAACTTGAATGAAAATATCCTTCATCTTCTTTTTGAAAATCATCAAAAAGCCATGGTTTAGTGACGAATTGTTGCGCTCATATTTTTTTTACAAAAAATTTTTGCACTTATGAATGGTGTGAAAACGCATGATTGCAATTTCACGTTGGTTGGAGTTGCAGCGTATGTTCAAGCATACGTTCAAAAGCTCTCTGAAACTAAAGGTGGAACTAATCATTACGCACAACGTGAAGTTGTTTGGCAGCTTGTTAGGGCTTTTAGTGTACATTTAGTTTCAAGGAGACTCCAAATTGTCTCATTGGTAAAAACCTAATGAGGAACGTGTTCAGAATAAGGCCGTGAAAGCTTTTTGTTCTCTGCAAGGGCAAGAACGAACAATGCCCATTCTGCTGAGGTTTTGTCTGCAGGAAAAATGTGTCTTAACAATTTTTAACGTTATTTTATGCAACTCTGATTTTCTTTCTTTATGTGCGCTTTTCTATGCCTGTTTTGGCAATTTTAAGATCGTGGAGCTTAGCTATACGCAACTTTTCAGACTGCGATGCACAAAGCGGCTTTTCTGTCTTCGTGCGAAAACGTGAAAGCGCTCTTAGAACTTGGAGCTTCGCCAAACTATCGCGATCCCATCGGTCTCACCCCGCTCTACTATAATATGTTGACGACCGATTCGAACGATCAGGTTGGTTGCAGGGGTTCAAAGGAGTCCCTTACTTGCAAATAAGATGGAAATGTACACTACAGCAATGGAAAAAAAATGTTGTAGTTGTGATTTCTTTTGAAATGGTTAGCAAACTTTCGTCTGTTAAGAAATCCAAGTTTTGGTTACTAATGACAAGAAAACCTTTCACTTACCGCCGTAAGGTTGACAATATCTGAAGTGGATTTTCGCATATTCTCATGATGTGTAATGGATACGGTAGGGGTACTGTAGATCCTAGTAGCAACGAGATCGTATCGCTCAGTCGCTATCATAAATAGTATTGCCATAATCTGCTCTTGGATACTGTGCTGTAAAGTGTCAGGGATTATATGATTGTAATCTCTACCACAGGTGTAGCTCTCCGTAGGGTATGGTAGGGATACGGTAACAGGAACAAATCACTATAGCAATTCTTTTCGCAATTAGTAATATCCAAGTATGCTGGGTTACCCATTCAACTTACCGACGGAATGCGCTTCCAGGATTCGTATCACAGCGCTGCATTTTGTAGGAGTACGGTAAGAGTACGGTACCCAGATGATTTATTTGATATAATCTTCAGCATTGATATCAGCATGACCATAATATGCTAGATACTGTAGCTGTATGTTTTTTGAAAGCACTATCAGTTTATATCAGTGGTAAACAATCATAGTCTTTAGGATTATGGTAATTGTACGGTAGCGCGATAATGGCATCATCATAATGCTCAACATAAATACTAATCTTCAAATCTTTTGCAGGGGTCTATATGTAATCAATACAAGTGTATTAAGTAATCCGTATTACGAATAGTAATATCACCATTGTCTGTGAAGTACGGTAGGCGTACGGTAGTAGGGCAGTGCCGCACCGCAGCAGCGGTCGCTGAATACAATTACCGCATAGATCATTGCAGCACGATATAACATAGCATTTGTCTCCTCAAGCTAAATGTAAATTTTTTCACCAGTTTCGAAAGTACTCAATTCTAGAGAAGTTATAGCGTTGCTTTTTATGACTCTGTCTTTTTTGCAGAATAGTAATATCCAATAGTCAAAGTAGATCATTTTGATAAATTTCCAATAATTGTGCTTTTGAAGGTGGCCGAAATGTTGCTACGGGAAGCGGCCGATATTGGTGTGACGGACATGCACGGAAATCATGAAATTCACCAGGTGAGCAAGAGCAGCAGGTTGTTTGTATTAGGGGAGCGGCAAGCTGGCGATGATGTCCTTCCCATGTTTTTCATGCTCAACACCGCACTCTCGAACGACCATCGCCTTCAAGATCCGCCTGACGGTTCGAGAGAGCGAGACAGTCAGCCACTCCTCTATTAGTGGAGAGACGTCAACAGGCTCCTCATGTTTAGCAGCCTTTTTGAGCCACTTTGCTATCTTTCTTTCTAAAATTTTAGCCCCTTATTTCCCAAAAAAATTTCTCGAAAACTAACGCCTATGTGTTGTATTAGCAAAGTCCTTGACCTAAACACCGCCAAGAAACTTTTTCTCCCCCCTCAAAACCAAACGACAACGACGACCAGAAATTTTAACGCTTCGGCGCTGTACAACACCCACCTTCGGAATGTTTTCTGTGCTTAACCACACCTGCCGAAAAGCGGTCTCCTTAGCTTAATCGCTCGTGAAAACGTCATGACAAGCAAATCTGTTTGTCACAGAAGTTCTAATTGCTCGTCGTCGTTTGTCGTGCCACCCGAGCAGTCCAGAATTCTTCTTCCGTCATGGATCCCCGTAACCGTGTGCCTCTCTCACTCTCAACTAGTCTCCCTTCACTCAATCTCTTCCCCCCCCCCTACAACAACCAACAATAATGCAAACAACCCGCACTGGCTCGGACCACAATTGAACAGCCCCACAGCCCCGGCATTCGCGCTTGTGTACTCAACGTTCACTACATTTCCATTCAATCTTCTTTTTCATCGAAAATTTCCGCTCTCAAAATTTATAATTTTCATTTATTCATCAAGTTGTCCCAAAAGTAAACCCGTTTTGTAAATAAATCAAACTGTTTTGTTTTTCTGGCATCTTAGGGTACCATTGGGTAGCCAAGCAAGCCTTACGAAATGACCTCCGAACCGTCTAAGTCGTAATTCCGGTAAAATTTGGAGCCAAAAATCACAATTCTTCTACTACCCTAAAAATTGGATCTCCTGAGCTCAAAGAATTCCTACAGATTTCCAACTTGCAGAGTACATTATACGGTAGACATGTAGTATTATCCAAAACTGCATTGATGGGAGTCTCAAAATCAGCTAATAGCCCAAAAATGCAAAAATTTCGCTTTTTCGGGTTTTCACGTTAAAGTTGTTGTTTCTTTATTACCAGTGCACATAAACGATCTAAACCTCCAAAGTTATACTTACTAAGACTTGATCGTACACAGTCACATATGTGGGAGGAGCTGGGGGCGGAGTTTGCCATTTTCGGTCTACCTTTTTTCGCTTTTTATGCATGGAAAAATCAATGAAAGCATTTCTGAGTACTACCAGGTGTTTTCTATATGACAGCAAATTGGGAGATTTCAAAACTTTTTTCGCAAAAATCAATTTTCAGGTGGTAATTTTTCCTCAATTTTGGCTCCAAATCTTACCTGAATTACGGGAAGGGCCGGATTTACTTCACGCAATTCAGGCGCGACGCGATTTGGCAATATTCCAGCTGTCCATAGCTCATTGTAAGCATATTATAAAGTACAGAAGGCAGGGCATTTCATCAATCCACATAAGCTATATACACTATGCATGTGCAGTTTGCTAGCGCGTTGGATCTGAAGACTTCTGGCGAATTGCCAAATCGCATCGCGACTGAAATTGCGTGAAGTATGCCCGGCCCATTAGGCGGAACTCCAGTATGGGAGTCGGCTTATACTGCTTGCTTCCCTCTATCAAATGGTACTAAGTCTGCCAGGAAAACAAAAACAGCTTGAATTATCTTAAAAGGAGTTTACTTTTGGAACAATCTAATAATTTCGCCCAATTCCAGGCGTGCAAAAACGGTTTGTCGAAGCATGTTGAGCATTTGCTTTTCTATGGTGCCGTTGTCGATGCCGAGAACGTAAACGGCAACACTCCGCTTCACGTTTGTGCCGTCAATAATAGGTAATGATTTGTTTTGTTGTACCCATAAACCATCGTTGATTGCTATGATATCGTTGTTATTCGCTTCGCGTCCTCATACGTTATTTTGATTTTTACCTAGACCGATAATGTTTCTAAAAATAGAGCTTATGAGACATCTGAACATCCTAGCGAAATAAGCTCAGGAGAAACTTCAAAAAAAATTTATCATATATCGAAGCGATAAAGTGTACAGACTACCTAGCTCATCTTTTGAACGACAGTTCAGTAAACAATTTTTCAAAGGATACCTTCTAAAGAATACCTGCTAAATTAAGTTTTTTTGTGGTTTAAGCAATTTTACCGAATTTCAAACTGCGCAGGGCTCCTAAACCATGTTAATGGTTCTTTTTGTTATGCAAGCAAACTTTTTCAAAAGTTCTCTGTTTACCCTACTTACGACTTAAATTTTATGACAAAACTATTTTTCTCTTCTATGTTTGAATTGTAACCAGAATCCTGCAAAACTCGCACAAATCTAGATTTCAGTATGACAGCCAATTGTTTGGGACGTGTCCTGCTGGGAAATCATCTTCGAGAAAATTGTAGTTTGCAATCCTATCCAGATTTTAGACATTAAATTCTAAATCATTATCAGAGCTCGGCACGGGGTGGGTTTTGAAAAATGAAAAAAACAAGTCCCTCTTGACTTTCGCGACTTTTTACGAAGTCCCCTTGACCCTAAACCGTGAACGTAGAAAAATCTCAAAAAACGAAACGTCAACTGAAAACTTCACAATTTTTGTGTCTTTTCGGCCCCAAAAAGATACCTCCTTTGCTTTTTGTCCCCCCAAAAACGAATATCCAGCTTGCTTACAAGCCACCTGTGCCGAGTTCTGATCATGAAATTCAATAATTACACTAAAATTTAGGTTGTGAAAATAACAATTTGAAGGTAAAGATTGTTTGAAGAGCATATATTTGTAGGCCTATGAGGGTAAGGAGAGTTTTGCTCAGAAAAACGGCTTTAGTCTTGAAAAGGTCGGAAATTATCAAAGCGATGACTTATTCGTACGTCTTGAATAAGTTTACAATACACGGCTGATTATTTTTCGACTCAATTCAAGCAAATAAAGTCATAATTGACAAAAATTACTGGAACGATTTTATGCTTTTCAAAACAAGATTCGCATCATTTGATTTGAGGAGATGCTCCTGGTTTCTTTGCAGAACTAGTCACAAAGACAAAAACGGAGAAACTGTAAAAGTTTCGTTACATAAGCAATAAGATCTTGATTGTCTCCTTCGTGGGAAATCGTATTTGAGAACGCAGATGTTCTTCTTGACTGCATCCTTTCGGCAATTTTCATTTTAAATCAATCTGTTAATGATAGTAGCTGTTCAAACAGAGCATAATCGTTTTGATTTCTGTAATGAATGCAAATTTTCAGGCCAGAGTGCGCTCGTGTGCTTCTTTTTCGAGGTGCAAACCATTTGTCAGTGAACAAGCAGGGTCAAACGGCTCTTCATGTCGCACACATCGTTGGTAGTGGTTCTGTAGCTGATATTATCGCTTCGCATAATCCGTCTACAAGTGGTAAGCCAATTTATTTCTTTCTTCCCTTTGAAATCTCAAATTTTGGCGGTGTTTTCCTTGATTTCCGACCAAAATTTGAGAATGTGAATCCGCTTGAAAGAAGACGGTTCAAGCTACCGTATACCTACCGTGATCTCACACTGCCCACGAAATTGCGAAATACGAAAAATCATCATTTTAAATGACTTATTGATTGTTTATCATCTTCCTTGACATGGCATATATCACTTCGAGATATTGCCATTTTTCGTGCCCTAACTCAGTCAAAGCGCGATTACGGTAGGTATACGGCAGTGGCGTACCGAGGGGGGGGGGCGGGGGGGGGGGCGCGCGCCCCCCCCGAGAACGGGTCGCGAAATTTTTGAAAGTTACTTACATGGGTTATAAAAATGTGCAAGTGACTTGTTTTTACTTGTAAATAATTAAAATAATTTTTAAAATTTTTTAAAAATTCATTTTAGCCTTATAAAAAAAATTTTTTCGGGGGCGTGGCTGACGCCACGCCCCCTTTTTCCAGATTTTAGGGGTCGAGGACCCAGAAAAATTTTGAGAAGCACCCCAAAAATTTTTTCGGAGTGCGTGGCTAACGCCACGCACCTTCTTTAGAAAAAAATTTTTGTCGCGCCCCCCCCGAGCCGAAATCCTGGGTACGCCACTGGTATACGGAGAAGGCCCAAATATGTAGTGTCTTCATTCTGCATATACAGTATCGAAGCTGCGTTTCCTAAGGCTTTTCGAAAGATTGGGATGGATGTGTCTCGTAATACCTGCCAGCTCCACAAAGGGTTTTTTTTTGCACAAAATGGCCGCTAGTCTTAGCCTTAATGCCAAATTGGGGAATCTTATTTAAAAGATGTGGACAAATACGGGCTTTGATCGAACCATCGGGATCTACCTATCATATAAGCTACCGTAAACCTATCTAGTTCTGTTTGTCTGCATTGGTTGCGATAACTCTAATCACTCATACATGATTCAATGCTGCTTTTTGGCAAATTCTTCTGAATCTCAAACCAACTTGAAAACTAGCATCGCTTTCGCTTTCTTCGCGTTTATTTACTGCACATTGGAAACTGAGAGATTTCATATTTTACAACATATCTCCTCTGTGGTAGCGTACAGCAGGTGTAAAGCATAAATTTTTTCTGCAACTATCAAATGCGAAAGGTGCCGCTTTGTGTAAAATAGCACACTTTGTACAGCACTGAATATTTTTACGGTTTTGGCTAGAACGGTTACTTGTTGACGATCTAAGGCTAGGCTCTTATCTGGAAATAATCTACTGATCGCTAAGACATGTTTTCCCTTAATCTACTGTATTTGTTTATAGTGCCCTACCGTGGTACGCCGCAGTACTCGACCCGACGTCGGATATCCACATCGTTATCAAAGCGACGTTCGCTCAGTCAGTCATCGCTCTGTAGTCAGGAGATCTACCGTACTCCACAATCACAACGAAGCATAGCACCGTCAATTGCTACATCGGTAACTTTTTCTATAAATTTTTTGCAGTTCGACGTATAGCGACTGATGTTTAGTGCAAATAAAGGCTAGTTGACAATCGTATTCACCAATAAATTTTTACCAAAAAGAGAAGAATTTAGATTAAAGGAGGGAGCGCGAGATGAAAAGGTCTTTTTGATAGCAATGAAGTATACTACTTTGTAAACCAGACAATGAGACAGATGAGCTTTAAAATGCATCGCAAATGACCAAACTGGCAAAAAACATGCGAAATATTGACTCCTTATGCGATGCCTACAGTATACCTACAGTAATCGTTTATCTAGGTTGCACCATCGCCAACTCCATCGAGAGTTAGCCATAGCACCGTTACACCTTCGGAGTACGGAACGATGCGCCGGTTTACACCTGGCATGGCCCCCGGCCATGAAGCAAACATTCCTCGAATATTGGTGATTCCCAGAGGGCCAAAAGGTTTTGGATTCATTTTACGTGGAGCAAAACGTAAGTGGACCATTATTTTCTATGAATCATAGTTCCCTAGCAAGTTCCAATTTTAGATGTAACTTCTCCCATCGATTTTGAGCCATCCCCTCTATCACCCGCTTTGCAATTTTTCGAAGGGGTGGATATGTCGGGAATGGCTATGAGGGCTGGCTTAAGGCCAGGTTAGCTTGTTTTTAGAATTCTTCCAAAGGATAGTGTAAAAAATATCGATTCAGGTGATTATCTGCTCGAAATAGATGGTATCGACGTGAGAAGTGCAAGTCACGAACAAGTGGTACACCTTATTCAGCAAGCTGGTGCTACCATCACCCTCAAGGTAAGTTATCTAAAAAAATTTCCCTCTGCTGTATTTGGCTAACTGCCAAGTCTTTGTTTTTCTAGGTAATCACTGTTGATCCTTCGCTTCCAATGACCCCGGCGGGAACATATCAAGGAGGCCGACTTCGACCAGGTGAGCTACTTTCTTAGTGTCACGAAGTGACGGGCCGAGACACCACCTCTTGACTGGTACTTAACATTTCGACAACAAAGCATTGGCTCAGTTTTTTCGAGACCAGGGAGAATGACTTAATTTGTGTTAATTTGTTCTGTGTGCTAAGGTAACGGACCAGTGTGACGGCGGAAAAATGAAGCTAGCAAGTGAAAAATGTAGTTTGTGATAATGACCATGAACGCTTTTGTGTTTGTCCTTAACTTTCTAATCACCATTCGCGTCTTCTGCACTGTGGTGTCTATAAATTACTTCACGCAATGTTTCGAATATAGATACAGTAGAGTTGTTTGTGCTTGGGTATACTGAATAGAACGGAATGCACACTGCACTTCGAGTTCTTATCGGTTTTTAGATCAAAATAAAAACCAAGTAAGGTTGGGATAGAAACGGAAATGCTTGGTGATCGTGTTCATAGCCAACAATTTTGGTTTCGGCTTGACGCTCTCATGTGCATTTGAATATAGTAAAGTACGACTTACTCTTCTGCTTGTAATGTTAAAAAATGCGTCCGTTTATTAATTTTCTCCTATCCGAAAAAATGGCGCAGTGCGTCACACCAATATGAAAAAAAATGATACAAGTATTTGGATTGACGTTCTGACAACTCAGTTATCCGGTAATGTAAACATGTGAGTCGTTACCCTCTGACCTTTAATTTGTTCCGAAACATGAATACAGAAACAGAACAATCGAAAACTTTTACCTACGATACAAACATTTCAACTAACACTTATTCAGCAATAATTATTATTTTTGTTTGGTGTGCTTGCTATACGAGGGGAGCTCAAGAAAATAGACGCGGGCTGCTATAACTTGCCATCTATCTTTTCATAATGTTTGCCGCTAATTAAATTGGTTTTATCAATCTTTGTACAATTATGGCATGGCCTCTGCGCAAAGATGACACGCAAATTCGTATACCAAGTCTCGTTCAGTTTCACTTACATTAATATCTCATCGATAAGCTTTAGTGAGCAATCTCAAGGTACAAAAAAGTACCAAAAACCATTGTAGCTTCATTAATCAGGGGCATAGAAAGCAAGAAAATTGTGTGCCATGGTTGTTTTTGCACTCAAATTATGTTTTAAGTTCTAAGCATGGACTCCGACTCCTAAGTTTTGTCTCAAAAGTCCCGTCTGAATCTACATCTCTCTAAATGTCTTCGAAACAGCTGAGAAATGGGCGCTTACAGTTGGCAGCACGTTCACCGGTCCACCACCGATCCCGATTCGACACCCGTCGACTTCGCTGTCGCTGCGCGGAAGTCAAAGTCTCTACGGATTAAGTGGTAACTCGCTACTCGTTGTGCTCCTGCTTGGCTTTAGGGTTCACACACTGCACTTTTTCTTCTTGAGACTGGTCATCTGATCAAACACCCTGGACTATTTCCTGCGCCAAGGCGATGCATGCTATTAGGAAACCAATTCCTATCTGGCCAGATAGGAATTCTTCAGATTTAGACGAAGATGGTACCTTTGGGCATCCAAACTATTACCTTTCCTGTGTAAAAATCTCGCACACTTAACTTGCACCACTGTCTCGTTCACAGTGTGAGGTCGTCAAGGAAAACGTTGTCCCTACCGTAACTGCACACACTGTCGCATGCCCGCATCGTACCTCTCTCCGCCCGAACATCCACAGCAGGAGGTCTTGTAATTCCAGGTGATCATGAGGACTACTATGCCCCGGGGCAGTTACGTTCGGCTTACGGGGAATCCCGATGCGCATCCGTGAAACAAAGACATGGAGGAGGTAGGAGGATCTCTGCCGCCGAACTGGAGAATCTGATGGTAAGGCAAGGAGAACGGCAGAGCTACCAGCCCATGGCATATGATCAGGTACTAACTCACCCACCATGTGGCATTCTTGCATCTAATCTAAAGGTTACCCATTTCAGGACTCGATAGGGTCACAAACCCCCAAAAAATACAATTCTGTGTCGGATATGAAGAGAAGAAAGCAGAGGGCAGCTCCTTCCCCTCAAGGGCTGCAACGCTCCTATGAGTATCAGGTATGCTCTCAAATGTTCCAAAATGGCTCCCATACCTCCCTACCCTTACCAACGATAATTTGCAGACCAGCCAACCCATAAACGCAATCTATGGCTCCCCTATGAAAACGTACTCGAGTTCGCCAGACATCATGAACTCGTTTGACTCCACGGAAGAAGAATCCGCCTCTACAGCTTCGCCATCGGACGACAGGCTTTCATTCGTACCACATTCGCAAAGCGCTTACTTCCAACAAACCACCGACTACTCGCGCCCATTCCGACCAGCTTTTCGACCGAAAACGCCTCCTCCTCCGCCACCTCCACCTCCGCTTGCTCAATCATCCATGCCTCAGATGGCGAATAGGTATGTAGCTTCTTTTTCTTCCAACCATTCGCATTAAGTTCTTCTCAAGGATACCCTACGATCCGACTACACCGCGTGCAGCTGGACTGGCTGCTAATGCACATATTATCGTTCCACCCATTCATGAAGATACAGCATCCACATCTTCACCTCCACCACTTCCGCAGTCACTTCCTCCTTCTATGGGTAGGTACTTGCAATTTTTCCGTAACTTACTCTTTAACAATCAATTTTTAGCGTCGAGTGCTAGCATTGCTCCACCTCCACCGCCACCGCCACCGCCACCACCTCCAGACTTCTTGAAATCTTCGCCAGCTTCAGCGATCACGCCAAGTGGTGTTACCAAGGCTGGCATATCTGTGGAAGCGTTACGATCTGTCAACCTCAAAAAACCAGACGTAAGCACGCTGATTGAATTTTTGGTAATCGTAAAAAGATGTGTGATTTCCAGAAAGAAGAGAAGAAACCTCCGGCTGGCTTGGTACCCAACGGATCGGCGGATTTCCATGCGGATCTCCGAAATGCGCTAGCGAAGCGAAGATGCAAAGTAGCACTTGATGATGATGACGAAAAGAGCGATGCGGAATCTGCGTAAGTACCTGCTCAAATCTAAAAAAAATTTTTTTGTCACAAAACCGGCGCATAAGCTCACTTGACCCGTTACCCGCTACTCATTGACGAGTGTTCATGTGCCTAGAATTTTGGGCAAAAACACAAAAGAAAATAAGGGTCCTGAACAGAAACGTGTAAAAGGACCGCATACAAGTTCAAATGCGAAGGCGAGTGTCCATTGTCTAGAGGATCTGGCACATGAACTCTTGAATTTAGTTGAAAATTGCGTCATATGTTAAGTACCTGCCAAACTTGGGATGCGGTAATTCATGGTCAGATACAAGACAGTCAGAGAAGCACTTCGTATAGATTAAGCTAAAGGGAAATAGGCTGGCTAGAAATCAGTTTTAGCTAAATTTTGAAAAAAATCATTTAGCCGAAACTGCATTAAATTAGTAAGAAAAACATTATCGAACCTCTGTTATGTATACCAAGGAGTTCTTCCATTAGTTCGAAATCACCATTGAGATCTGGGTGAATGTCTTGATGATGGTCTTCCTCTGTATTAGTACCTTGTGTAACCCTCTTGGGGAACTTCAGCAAGCTTATTGTTCGACTAGTAAAAGCTTATGGCTTGCAACCTCGGAATCTAGTCTATAAGGAAATCTAGAGCTGTTTGCATGAAATCCAGAATTTATTGTCCCGCAGAGATAATCCACACTTTTGTAGGCGATTCGGTGGATTGTCTCTGCGCGAGTCTGTTCGAGAGAACGTACAACCGAAGGACAACAAACAACACTCACCGCCTGGAATCGCGAACAAGAAGGACAGCGGGTTGGTCAAGCAAGCTTTCCCCCAAGTCCACCGATGTCTCGCTGTGTGACCTCGTTTGGTGTTTCCCATAAAAATTATACGATGTCTATATCCTTTGTACCAAAGGGCGAATGACAGGACGAAAATGAAAATTGGGGCAGTTTACAAAAGTGATCAGTGATAGTATTGTGTGTAATACTACCCAGAAAATGAACATACGTAACTTGGAGCATGATTTACCTACAAGTAGCGAATGATACGATAACTGATGAGCTGGATTTGGTGTCAATGTTGTCTCCTCACCCTTTTTTTTACCCCGGTTGGCATTCATCTGTGAATGGTTAGCGTAATTTTTCCTATTTTATGATGATAGAATTTTGAATGTTGTAGTTATCTCGAATCCCGCTTGTGATTGTGAACAGGGCGATCAAGAGCTTTCTTTAGCTGCATGAATTAGCTTCTCTGAGTTTTTTAATGTTTTAAAAACACTTAGAGTTGTTGAGCTTCAACCGATTTCAAAAAAATGGGTTTGGAATTGGCTGTAATCTTCAATACTGTTAAGCATCCTCACAATCTTGAAATACTATGATAAAGCATACTTGAAAATTCTGCAAGTTTTCAACCTACGCAAAATTTTTCGTATTCATTAGGCGTGAGAAAAGGCACATGGTTCTTCTTGACTTTCGTTATTCACGTTGTGGTGTAAACGTGGTCCAGATTTGGTAGAGAGGAATCATGGTGAATGATAAACAATTTTGCACAAACAACTTCAACAACAACTTTTCAACTTTTTTTTTCTTCTTTGTAACCCCTAATTAAAGGCAGCAGCTCGGCTGAATGACAGTTTTGGATAATTTATCGTTCTGAGTTCCCCTGGACGAGCTATATTCAACGCTGCGCTTTGCAGCTTCAAAAGATATCAAAAAGCCGCTTTCCCAGGCGTGAAAAGTGCTATTTGGGCGGAACGCGTATCTTGCTCTCTAGAGCGTGATTGGCTTGTGATTGGAAACACTGTACCTACCGTACCCACAGCCAATCGCGGTCGAAGACAGGCACCCGTCTGCCCAAATAGCACTTTTCACTTCTGGAAAAGCGGGTTATCAATATTTTTTGAAGCTGCACAGCACAGTCTTGGACTTATCTCATCCAGGGGAAGCGAAAACGATGATATCCCAAATTTATCATTCTGCCGAGCCGCTGCTTATAACGTTAATATAAAATTTCTGAATTCAAGACATCATTCTTTTCCTCCAAACGCTGTCTCATCGATAGTGGCACCTAGCATTGCTAATTCCAGTGATCACTATTTCGCAGCATCTTCTAGCACTAAAACCTTCAGGTATACATCGTCGCGAACATCACTGGAACCTTCCGAATTCGGGGAAGATCGAAGTGATAATGGTGGACAGCGTCCGCACTTCACCGTCAACGTCGCCACGGCCCCTCGTCAGAGCAATGTGGCTCTGATCAGCCAGAACATCGAGGACAACTTCAGCACACGCAAGAACATCGATAACGTGGGTTCTTTGCCCCTTCTCGGGGTTCTCGCTAAACGCCTTTGCTTTTCTTTCGGGTCCCCTCAATTTTTGGTTGATTGTCAGCCAAAGGGCTAGACAATGTGCTCTCCCTGCTTCCCCCAAGAACGATTTTCTCACTTCAGTTTTTCTGGGTTTGCATGTGTCGGTGTATTCTTCAGATGTCTGTGTCTTCCACGCTAAGCACACTCTCTGGCTGCTCATCTGAATCGCGTCCTACGCCGTCGTCACAGATCCCAGTATTGCCACCGATAGACTACGACGATCCTGATTCAGGGACTGGTGGCTCCGACAGCGATGCTCAAAGTAAGCAAAGGTGGCGTGGACACGCGAATGCTCAGTGTTGCGTGCTGATTTTGTTTCTGTGCTTGACTTCTCTTACTCTCCCCACCCCCTCCTCTCTTTTTCTTTTCTATCTCCCTTCTACTTGCCCGCAGCGAGCGGGTAGAGAAACGAACTCCGCCATTAGCGCCTCCGCGGACTACTGCTCCTCGCACGATATGCGATAGCATATGCGAAGTACCACTGGCGCTTATTGGCGGAGTTCCTTCCCCTAAACGCTACTAGCTGGTGCTCCCTCGCATTATAATTGCGACTTCAAGCTTCAATAGTCTAGGCCAACAAAGCAAATTCGTGTAGTTCTTCGCTTACAAAGCTAGTGTTATAGTCAAGGTTTAGGTAAATCCAATTGAATGGATTGTTTTGTTGATTATGATTTGGAGGCCTCGGCCAATTCACTGCCCAAGAGGGAGCTTACTAGTTTTGTTAGCGCTTAAGAAATTTATCTTCAAACTCTCGTCCGTACCCTTTCCTAGGATGCGGACTGGTCTCAAAGAGAGGGTGCGGTATTGGGCGAGAGTTTGGAACTGAATTTCTTGTGCGTGAACAAATATAATAATAAAATTTTCTGATGCTTAGGCAATGACTTTTCAGCACGTTCAAATCAATCGCTTCAAAGTTTAGCAAATTCATATTTTCTGGACGCCGTTTCTGAGCTTTAGCTGCTTTCCACTACAACCAACCTAAAAATAATTCTGCCATACAGTCTTCAAATTCTGTCGCAAGGCCTCATCTTCGCTTGCTTCTTCTCGAAAGCCGATTAACTATAATTTATACATTTTTACAAAAATTTCAGATACATGTATGTGACGCTTATTGTAACCTAGATCGTACTCTCTATATTCTTTTATAGCTTCTTATTCTGCAAAAACAGTTTTTCTAGCTCACAGCTTCCTTATCTAATCATGTTTGTCGATGTGCTGATTACAGATGCGGAAAGTGGGGCATTTGAAAGGAAAGTACTATTGAAGTGGACATGCGCTGATGCTCTACAGTGGTTGATCTCGTTGGGTAAGTTTCATATTATCAAATTGATGACAAGAATGTTCCATCACGAAATTTTTAGGGTTTCCTCGACTGCAAAATACAATATTTTCTTTTTTCTCGAAAAAATTGTGTAACTACCCCCTAACCACTTTGTAGCCGCATTGAGTTACCGTTACTCGCAGTAGCAGCTGATCAATATATTGATTTCTCCAGCTTCATGAAAAGCATGCTGTTCCTTATTTTCGTGAAAACAAGAACTACTTTATTTCCAGCAATACATTTTTTGATTAAAAAAACCGGTACTTTTCCGTTACCCGGACCCATTTTTTCAAAGAAGGATACTGCTTCTTTTCTTGCACCATATCTGTTCTCAACTTCATAGGGAAGAGTGTCAACCTTCTGCCACGTGTCAAAAAAAATTTGACATGCCATCTACATGTTTAACAAGTTTTACCAGCAATTCATGTTGTTCTACCTAGCGATGTAAGTTCGACGTTTTTTGGTCAATAATGACCCTATTTTCGACTAAACATTTTCAAAAATGACATTGTTATAATAATAACGTCGCTTTCTTATCAATGAACATACTAGACATGTCCAGAATAGAGAAGTGCGCTAGGGTTCCATCGTCTGAGCTACGAAAAGCAGCAGCGAGGTACTACTTCAAGCCATCATTTGTAGACTATTCTGGCTAAACTCACATGGCGGAAAGTTTGAAAAGAAATACATTCTTGAGCCATTGCTATAAGCAATCAAGATATTCTAGTAATGGCTCTAGATTGCTTTGCTCTTATATAATCAGCTTGACAGCTTCTAAGTGGTTACAGATGCTTTTTTACCTCTCCGAAAATGATTTCGAAAAAACATGTTAAAGTGGGCTAGAACGTGTCAAATTTTTCCTGACACGTGGCGGGGAGGCAGTCCTCGTAGAAACTATGAAAATTTGTATTTGGACTACAGAACGTATTTTATAAGAGCATTTTAAAAAAATGGGTCCGGATAACGGAAAAGTACCAAAAAACCCCTCTTAAAATCACAATTTTAGAGTATTGTTAGAACCTACATCACTTTTACTTATAACTTAACAAATTCCAATCGGGAGTTTTTTCTTGCCGGGACCTGAGAAAATTCCTGGGCTGTGCAGTTCAGTTCCCGATTTTTTTTCGATAATTCGCTATGATTACAGGACTCGAAGAATATCTGCCCTCTTTTCGAGCTCGACGAGTCGATGGCAAAGCGTTGTCGAAATGTGACCGGGCAGCTTTCACCCAGCTGGGCGTCACCCGGATCGCCCATCGCCAGAAAATGGAAGCATCGCTTCGACGGTATATGAGTATCGTATAGGTTTACCGTAATTCCCTTTGTACATGTGCATTTCGTAATAACGTAGACATATCTAGGGCTTGTCTGCTTAATTTTGAAAGGGTGTTGATGTAAATTACTGAGAAGAATTAAGTTTTACTAGAAAAGAAGGCACGATTGATTAGACTAGATGTTTTTTGAATTGTCGCTGTATTTTTTATTAGTCCTATCGATTTTTTGCTTTCGATCTATCTATCATAGAATTCCGCTGTGATTCCCGTGCCTAATGAATGCTCACGAATGTTTGTCGTTATTTTTTTAAACTATCTTCCGTGGACTCCCATTCATTAAAATCATGAAGACTACTTTCCTGTGAGAGCAACCCTTTCCATCATCCAAGCAATCGATAAATTTCTAGAAGTCTAGAGTTTTCTGTGCCATCGTCGTGCCAACGCGGTTCCAGCTCCGTGTCAGCCGGGCTCCAGCGCCGTTTCAGCGCGATGCTAGCCAGAACTTCCAGTCAAGTCAACTTCACGATGCGTGTCCACATGAGTTCAGCACGATGCCAGCACGGCTCTGGCACGGAAAACTTTGGACGCAGCCTTAGCTTTTTGGAGGACTTTTCCCGCTCCCGTAGTCTTACTCAGTGTAAAAACGCATTCGGTTGCATTTTCCCCTAAACAAGAGCACCTTCTTCGGCTACTGAACACCGCTTCTGCTTTATCTAGCCGCATACGACGCGATTCCCACTCCCCGTATTCCGTCTGGGTCCTACCCCTCATCTCTTCATGTTCAATGTATAAATTATGTAGAAACTGTGGCTACGCATGTGCTTGTTCAAAAAATTCCATGCATATTTTTTGTTTTTATTTCGCGATAAATAAAGATTATTACATGGTAGATTATCAGAAAATATTACACAATTCGAAAGGTATTGCAGATCTTACAAGGTAAGGTTTTCAGTGGTGCGGCCGTTTCTTCTTCTTGAAAATGATTAAAGAGTCCGTACCCATATATGGCTGTTTTAGTGGTACAACCTTCTCCATTTCCGCCTGAAATAAATGCTAAAATTAATTGATTTTATCATAATGGTATGGATGCATACAGTTCACCAAAGACCCTGTACTTGTTGGTATGCTGATGATATAAAAGAAGAAAATCTGGAGAGATTTATGATTTCAAAGCAGCAGTTCCTGAAGCACCGAAAAATCCCTGTTTCAAGCATTATATTTCCTCGCTGCGCTTGCGCTGGATGGTGTTTTTATTTCCTTCTTTTCGCTAGCACTAGGTTTGCCAGAGAAGAACTTTAGTGGTTTTTGACGGTTTGTAGAAATAAAATGGACAAGCTGTATTGTGTGGTATCATTGAAAAAGCAGAAGAACAATCCTATGGTGAATGCTGTGTGTTTGAGCAGAGTTTTTTATGAGAAAATGATGCAAGAAATGGTATCGTAGGGTGTTAAAATTTCGAGAAAGTGCTTCAAGCGGAGGAGCGTAGTGTAATGTACCAAAATGGTACGCAACGTGATTTCGATATTTTGCCATTTATATGGGCATGGATGTTCAAAAATTAACTGGTCGAAAATTTGGTTCGGACTGTTCAAGATGACTTCGCGCAGATGGCATAGAAATTTATCTGCAAATTATAACCTTCTTGTGGGCGCTGTAGGCAAAGCTTGTACGTTCCCAATTAGCGAATTACTTTTCTGTGCGCTGACCCCAACCGAATACGAAAGAAAATAAAAAAACGATTATTTATAGAAGAATAGCCATCAAGGCATTATCGTCTTTCATTGCTGTAGAGGATTTCGAAAACAAAAATTTTATATCTATCATTCTAATTAATGTGCTCGGTCTTTCGTATTGGATAAGATTAAGATAGCTGATAGTAGCTGTTTAGGCACATCTTGTACGGTGTGAATGTTAATTCCTATTAGCAAAAAAAGGCGCCGCTAAAAACTTTTTTGATACTGTGAGTGTTTCATTGTAGTTTTATTTTTAAAAAGAACTGTTATAAAAATTTTGCAAATCATACCTTGAAGGGCTCCCTTGCAGGGGGAACTCGTCCTGGACCTAGAGTGTACATAACTGGTGGATAAGTCGTCGTTTTCCACTGAAATTCTACATGTGAGAATGTAAGCTCAGTAAAGTATAAGCAAACCTCGGTTGGACGATATGGAGCTGGAACCCTTGGATAGGGATAATGTGGACGAGAACCGCCACCAAAATGAACCTGTAACATAAATGGATATTATGATAATTTAGAGGGAATTGAAGTTACTTTCTTTTTCGAGTCAGCAGCTAACCGTATTCAAAGTTTGAACGCCAATAAAATTGAAGCTTCCCTAATATAGTGCCCCGTTTGCACAGTTGTTTTTGAGATGTGAGAGGATTAAAGGGGGGAGGGCTTAAATATGTAGCCCATACATCTGGTTTTGTAGAGCTTGACGCTTGCGAAATGGTTTTCAAATCAAAATGTGCGTTAGAAAAAGTTTGATCCCAAATTCCAACTAAAGTTGACGAAAAGCTCTAGCTTCGCATTTTCACCTCAATGCCTTGTTCAGCGGAATCTTCAATCACCTGGGCCCTGGAGAGCACTGGACGTTTCGGAATGCGAACGAAGCCGTCTCCAAGCCATATAGGTCTGAAATAGGTTATTATAAGAACTGCACGTAATGAGGATGAAATGCTTATCCTTTGGGAATATTGATTTCTTCGCAAGTTAAGGAGCACTAAATGCAATGAAAAACTGCAAATAGAAGCCTAGAGAAATTTACGCTCTATTGAAATGTATTACTTCTAAGCCTTTGAATGCAGTAAACATTATCAGGTGAGGGAAAACAGGCGCATATTTTGTTGAAAGTTCTTAAAAATGTTATAAAACGTATGAATGGACCATTCTGCTGTACCACCCAGAATTTGTGATAAAAAGGCAAATGTAAAGGAGTCTGCTACACTCAAATCAAATTGCCATACCTCGGTTCAGAGTGGGTAAATATGAGTGAAAGGACACCAACTCAGCTCGAATTTGATCATGTTGGATAGAGAATTGCCTCGTCTGGGTACGAGTTGCGGGGTTGACAGCCAGTTTTTAACAGCTATTAAAGTGCTTGTTATGATCAGCTCCCTGAGTAACCTACATGCCATGGCCAAAATGCGTGGCTCGAGATGATTTGAATGGTAATATTCGATTCAGAATATACCCACCCTGACGATATTTGGCGACTCAAATGCCGCTAACTACGGTGGCAATTTTTTCTTTTTTTTTCACAAGTCAGAAGCGGTATTGTAACCCATCCCCCTTCAAATGGACTTTCCTAACCGGTTCGCAAAAAAAGATAAGAACTTCATCTAACATTATCAAAATTCTAAGACTGCGAGAAATCTGCCTTCTCAATAGATTCAACAGCGTTACTTTTAGCATATCAAAGAGATTTATAGCGCAAATGGGAACGAAAAACTGGAAGACCTAAAGAGGTTCTGTTAAAAGAGGAAGCTATAAATGCATAACCGAAGCAAGCAATGTGCACTGTGCCCTTTTGACTTTTTTTTAGCGGAGTAGCAAGGAAGGCATGAAGGTAAGCTTTGGCTAATTGGTCCATAAATTATAAAACAAGAGACAGCTAAAGCATGTCTATATTCGATTAACAAGGAAGAGCGCGCTAAGAATCAAATCGATTAGAAAAGAAGTCTTTGTACTATTTGATTGTGCAAATGTTTAAGATCTAACTACCTATACAAGTGTCGTAACACTTGCGCCATTCTATTAGGAAGATAAATGAAAAACTCAGACTTTTTGAGTCTGCTAGCATAGACGGTGTGGTCATGTGTAATAATTATAAATTACACTTTATAAGAAAGAAGTCGCTCGATCTGAGTTTTCTTTAAGTAGTTGTGATAATTAGAAAAAAAAACAGTAGAAAACAGCATGGCACCAATCAACTCGAAGATCATATGTAATTCTTTTTAGAGAACTTCCAGCCGAACAAGCTTTTCTCTAGTTGCTGAAATAGCGCAAGTTCATTGACCAATTCACTGACAGCATTTTTCACTTATATCTCTGACATTTGCGACCAAAACGCCGGAAAAGGGATTTTACAAAGACACGTCATGAAAAAAGAACAATAGGAAAAGCTTAAGATAAACATTTTCAAAAAAGGAAGCTAGGAGATTGAAAGACCTTTCATATGCAATGGTGCTAAAAGGCTTCTTACTGCGTATGCTTGAAGAGGAGAAAGTGCAGAGACTGTAAAATAACATACATCTCTTTTCCATTGAACTTCTTGGTGACCTCAGCTAGGACAACGCGTAGCCTCGGCCTATACGGTCGGATACGGTATGCCGGCACATCCTCCCTTCTCTGCGGCAGAAGCAGATTAGCCGGGTCATAGGCGCTGAGTCGTTTGAAACGATTTTGCAAAGTTGGATGTGTTAGCGCAATCAGCAGTAGCACGATCGGAAGCATAGCAGCCAAAATGGCGCTATGGCTGCGCAACTAACCGGTAGCCGTCTCTTTGTGCGCTCTTATATGTTCGACTAGAAGCTTAGCGGTGGCCAAGCTGGAACGCTTGATACTGCGATAAACACATACATAAAAGCACACTATCACATGGCCGATGGCCAAGATTATCAATCATCGTTGCGGGACCCGAAAGACTTTGACGACATGATCTATTGTTTTATTGATATTCACCGAGATGAGATTGTTTTTGGTAAGCTTCCTGTGATCAGGCTAGTTGCTTGCAGATTTATATGACGAGCGCAGCATCAATCATGTGCGAGAATCTATAGCCAAACCATACGTCAGGTCCAGTATAGTCGGCCAACATAAGCCCGTGGTAAAGCTCGATTAGTTTAGGTGATTTGAACTGAAGCCATCACTTGAGGTTCCTTCAGATGAAATGACGACCGCCCACCTTCACATGCTAGAAGCATGCGAAGTGAACCGACAGATGGCCATTCGTCCACCTGCCACCTTCAACTGATCCACTTCCAGCGGTTCCGTTCACCTGAGACGTGAACTGATGCAAATGCTGCACAGTACCGAGGGCCGAAAAGGCGAGGATCGATAACGGCTGGTTTTAGCGTGGAAAACAAGAAAACAGATCCTTTGCTTTTCTTGTAAAGATTACAGGATGACTTTGGATAGTGAATTGTCAATCAATGAAGAGCTCTTTGTATCTTTATTGGTGACGTTTCGGTTTCTTATGAAACCATCATCAGACCGCAATATGTGCAATGCTAAGAAGAGAGAAACGCAAACAGAGCGCACCTTATGAGGGAGGTAAGGGGAGCGGATAAAGCTCACTAAGTTGCAGGAGGCGACGTCCGCGTGGTAGTGCCGTTAGTAATGAATGAAATGTATTCTCCATTTATGGGCTTGTTGATCAACAAATCAGTATCAAGGATTCATTCATTTCTTCTCTATTATTTATTTTCGGCTGGTGTTTCCTGATTTCATAAGCCTCCATGATCTTTCTCTCCAGAGTGTTCACCTTATTGCGATGTAAGACTGTTATCTTGAAGTTTGGGACTGCTTCCATGGTGTGCTTCGAAGTCCTGTGCTTAGAGAAGCTTTCGTTAGGATAAGAAGCAGGCTGAATAAATGCTCTTCTGTGTTCGTTGAGGCGGAGTCGTAATGGCCTTCTGGTTTCGCCAATATATTGTTCTCCACATCCTTCACTTGTAATCATGTATACAGTATAACGCAGATGACAAATGGGTTTCTCCGCGCAGTACGAACATTGGTTGTACACGCACTTCCTTTCATGAACTCGTGTGCATGTTAGAATTTCTTTCAACGACGGTGGTGGTAGAAATATTAACTTGACTGGTAATCCAGACTTCTGTACTACTTTGTTTAACATTCGCGTAGACTCAGTATAGTGAAGTATAGACTGCAGCTCAATCGACAATTTGATTCCAATTTGATGAAAAACATTTGTGCCACAAATCAACTAGTGTGCTCAAAGTTACGGCAATCAGAAAGAAATCGCCCCTCAATAAGAAACTGACCAGTCTGAAGATAACACCATCCATGAATGAATCATTTTTGAAAATGAATGCGGTACCTCCCAAAAGATTTACAGCAATCGGTACGAAAGAAATTGACGATGATATGGCAGCCGCTTTGAGTTTAGGACCATCTTTTGCTGTAATGCCAAAAGTGGATGAGTCCATTATAGACAAAGCACTTTGTGCAGTTGACCAGTATGCCTACCGACTGCGCCACAGATTGCAAAATGGATCTACGGTACTAGATCTCCAGTCGACGCTCATTTCATCAATGCCTTTTCCAGCAAAATCCATCAAAGCTACCAAAACCAATGCCGAAGTGGAGACGAAATTATGTGAATTGAAACTTGACGTTCGACGTATTTACGAAAACGAAATGATGCATTATACCTCAAATATCACTCCATCTAAAAGAAAAGGTCTTCAAAAGCTTATAAGAATGAAATCAAAACTAGGTTTACCATTGGAGATAAAAGTGGTTCCTTCGTCATAATGCCATTAGAAATGGACAAGGAAGTCACTTATCAAGCCCTTTCCGACTCTAGTACATATTCTCAAACTACTATATCGTCTTTTTTGGATTCATACAACAATGTTCATGATGCAATAACACATTGCGTAAAGAAAAAGCTGGGTACCAGAATAGCGGATCAGCTTCTAGATCGTCATCCAGTGATACCAACTTTCTACAGTCTGATAAAAACACATAAATTGCCGCATAACGTTGAAGCGGATTCTCTGTCAGTGATTGATATAAAAACTAGGCCAATCATATCTTCTTGTGGAGGACCAGCTGACAGACTGAGCTGGCTACTTGTCAAAATTCTATCGCCTTTGCTTCAATTCGTTGCAGCTCACATCATCAACGTAGAAACGTTTCTATCAGTTCTCTTACAATGCAAGTTGTCGAAATCGTATCCTATGCAAGTTTTGATGTAGTCTCTCTGTACACAAACGTAGATAATAATGGTGCTATCAACGCAGTATTGACTCTTTTGGAAGAAAATGAAAACAATGTCTCAACGTTTGGCTTCAACCGTGATGACATACGTTTCATGTTAAATGCGGTGCTTTCATGCAATACCTTCTGCTTCGATACGAAGATGTTTAGGCAGAAAAGAGGGCTTGCAATGGGTAATCGCATTGCACCAATGCTTGCAATCATATATCTGGACCATATCGAGAGAATCACTCTGACATCCGATATTATCCTGTATAAAAGATACGTAGATGATGTTTTCATCATTGGTGCCACTGAGAAAGATGTCGAATCAATGTTTGAGAAGCTCAATAATGTCAACGACAATATCTCTTTTACTGCGGAGAAACCTGATAATGACGGCTACCTGCCGTTTCTGAATACCAGAGTAAGGATTCGTGAAGGTCATCCTGAATATCGATGGTTCAAAAAGCCTGCCTCGTCTAATGTCATACTACACTCGCGAAGCGCACACCCGATCTATGTGAAGGTTACCGTGATACGAAACATCTTAAGAGCAAAGAAGAATTATGCTCGTCCCCGGATTTCCAAGTGGACAACCAGATCAATGCTATTCTCGAAGATAACGGTTATAGTTCGGTCGACGTAGTAAATACCTGGAGGCCTTACTCAAGTTCGGATGGCGTTCCACTGGCAGTACCATACGTTGTAGATAAGGCTGCACGAATGTTAAACAAAGTAGTACAGAAGTATGGATTACCAGTCAAGTTAATATTTCTACCACCACCGTCGTTGAAAGAAACTCTAACATGCACACGAGTTCATGAAAGGAAGTGCGTGTACAACCAATGTTCGTACTGCGCGGAGAAACCCATTTGTCATTTGCGTTATACTGTATACATGATTACATGTGAAGGATGTGGAGAAACAATATATTGGCGAAACCAGAAAGCCATTACGACTCCGCCCCAACGAACACAGAAGAGCATTTATTCAGCCTGCTTCTTATCCTAACGAAAGCTTCTCTAAGCACAGGACTTCGAAGCACACCATGGAAGCAGTCCCAAACTTCAAGATAACAGTCTTACATCGCAATAAGGTGAACACTCTGGAGAGAAAGATCATGGAGGCTTATGAAATCAGGAAACACCAGCCGAAAATAAATAATAGAGAGGAAATAAATGAATCCTTGATACTGATTTGTTGATCAACAAGCTCATAAATGGAGAATACATTTCATTCATTACTAACAGCACTACCACGCGGACGTCGCCCTCTGCAACTTAGCGAGCTTTATCCGTTCCCCTTACCTTCCTCATAAGGTGCGCTCTTTTTGCGTTTCTCTCTTCTCAGCATTGCACATATTAAGGTCTGATGATGGAAGAGACCGAAACGTCACCAATAAAGATACAAAGAGCTCTTAATTGACAATTCACTATCCAAAGTAACATGAAGCTCAGGGATAGAAGTATACTGAAGTATTACTGACTTTTTTAAAGCTGCTCAAAACAAGATTTCATTGGATTTATTTAATGAATTTATGTTGTAACCACTTCAACTTTCCATGAAATTTTCGTCAAAAACTGTGTTTTGGTTATACCTGCGCATTTGCTATGCGAAATCCTATCCTGATAGCGATCATCATCCATTTTGCGAAAGTGGTGGCTATCAAAATGGCCGGCGATACAGCAAAATTGTAGCGCAGGTCTCGAACCATGGCCAGCGCCTTCAATTCTAATCGCTTACCTGTGGCGAAACCGGCTCCAGTGGTTTCTTTCTAAAAGAACACACAACATTATCATTTCTAAAGAGCAATACGCGTCCAGATCAATCTTACTGGATGCTGAACTGAAGCGTTTTACGTTACTAGGCCCGCGCCAGCCGAGTTGCACTGAATAGGGATTTACTATGGGCCATAATGTCGCTGCGGTCCCAAAACATCAGGGCGGAAGAAATTACCATGCATGCAATGCGCGACGTTACTTGCGGAAGGGCCCCATTTTTACGCCCAAGTAAGTTGGGAAAGAACAGTACGTTGATCAACTGATGTTATAATCAAATAGCCTAAACTGTAAACCGTCATTTCTTTGTTTGATGTGTGCGACTGCGCACAGTACAATTAGCAGCACTCATGGAATTCGTTGCTCGATAATTCCGCATAATTTTCTGCATTTTCTTCAATTACAGATAAAAAAGCAAAAGAGACGTCTAATCGCAACTATCAATATGCATTTTCATATGTAGAAGATGAGAGTTCCAACTTCACGCGCAATGTACGTGTTATTAGATGATTCACTTATTATTCAGGTTAAAACAAAAAATCGTAGTTTCTCCTTACCACAATAGTCTTGCATAGCATTGAAGTCATTAAGAAGGGTAAATCAAGTGCTTTCTAGAAGAACCTTGCTTACTCTTTACTTAGCTCTGATTGCAGAGTTGAAAATGAGATAAGGAAATTACTTCAGGGCTCAGCATCCACTAGCCTCTTGCCCCTACAAACCAGTCCCAACCCTCAGGAAGTTGCACGTCTGCCACCGATGCCACTTACGGCTCGTCCACTTGAAGCGATCACCAAGACAACTAACCTTTATGGAAATATGATTATTTTGAGTGAGTTTGTGTACTAAAAAAATAAGAAACTCAGCTCAAAGAAATACTACTAACTACAAAGCTTCTTCTCCACATGGATGAATGAGAATGAAACACAGGACAAGCAACGCGTTCCGTGGTGCCATGCATAAGAAGGCTCAATCCAATCCAGAAACTCTGGGTTGCTCTTCAGAGTTTGCCGCAAGAGACCCAGTCCCATGGAACGGTGCACCTTACCAGCTCCATTCTCGCAGCAATGTTCGTCTACAAGCTTCCAGATTTCCTAGCTCTCTTTATTTTATTTTATTTTATTTATTTTATTTTATTTAACTATAAAGTCGACATCCAAATGACTCTAGACGAGGAGGATCAATAATTTCAGCGGTCGACCAAAATCTTATACGTCTTTCGAAAACGATACCCACTGTTTGGGGGGCCAGCGAGCCCGCCTGCAAAGGCTAGCTGACCATAACCCAGAGAGAAAAATAAAGGTTTTAAAGGTTTTCGAAAGGACAATAAGACATAAAAAGAAGGGAAAAGTACAATAAAACCCTCGGAAGAGGGGAATGATCACCAAGAAAAAAGTCGAAATGACCACAGGAAGAACACTGTAACAAAGAAAAAAGATAATTCGAGAGAGTTGCAATACAAAATGGTAAAGAATTCTTGATCCGGGGAACAGAAATAAAAACATCGAACATAACGAAGAATTTCGCCTTCTGGGAGACCAAACCATACTTCAGTTAGAATTCGTTGCGGAGAAAGGAAACGTCGAAATCTCAAAAAATTTCCTGGAAAATGGTAGTCAGAATGACCCCTGTGATTTCAGAAATTTTTGAACTTCTCTATTGAAAACGAATGTAGATCTCGCGGTGATAGCTTCCATTGGGAGCACATTCCACGTTTTGATAACACGCACTAGGAAAGAGTTATAGTATTGCTGGTTCCTCACTTTCCCTACTACAAGCCTGAACATGTGTCCTCTAGTGTAATTGTTGAAATTCGATAGACTGAAAAAATCTTGCGGTTCCAATTCAATCCTATTGGTCATTATTTTGAAGACAAAGTTTTGGTCATAAAGGGTTCTTCTAAACGCAAGAGTAGTAGCTAGAATAGAGAGCCTAGATTTGTATGACAATCGGAATATTCCAGTTCGGGCAAAAATTCTGGCAGTGAACGATCTCTGGACTCTTTCAATAATTTCCGTAAGGGTTTTCTCAGAGGAAGACCATAGTGGAGTGCAATATTCCAAAAGAGGACGAACATAGATGACGAAAAGGCGAAAGAGAATTTTTACATTAGTAGTTTTGAACCCACGAAGGATGTAATTGCACGTGGCGTGAGCGGCAACGGCAATATCTCGTATGTATTTCTCAAACTTCAGTTTGTCAGAGTAGGTCACACCAAGGTCCCTGGCACTGCTAACTGTTTGAAGCTCATGTGTCCCAATACGAAAGGAACACTGGGGATTGCACGTCCAATAGCCATAATAAAGGTTTTTTTCCGCGGAAATGTCAAGCTCCCATTTGTCGGACCACCTCTCTACCGCATCCAAGGCGCGCTGCATCAGACCAGGGTCGTCGTAGCAGTAAAGCTTTGTATCATCAGCATATATAGAGCACTGTACATCATGGGGAATGCATGACGGCAGATCGTTGATGTAAAGCAAAAACATCAAAGGCCCCAAGCAAGTACCCTGCGGTACACCACTTGCTGTTGTATAGATTGAAGAAAACGATTCATTGACCCGCACTCTTTGCGTACGCTCAAGCAGGAATGCTTTGAGGAATCGCAATAAACAGCCTTTAATGCCGTAAGCCTTTATTTTTTTAAAGAGAAGAGATAAGGGCACAGAGTCAAAGGCTTTCTTATAATCTATATAGCAGATCTATCTCACTTTCGTCCATCCCACAAGATCTCAAAAGGCTCAACTCTTGACGCAAAATCCTCATTATGTGCGGGAGCTGCGCAGAACGTATCCAAGCATGGAACAAAGATAATCATTAATGAAAACGAAGGTCGAAATGGCGAGGGCTGCTCTCGCGCGCAGCCTTGTATTCTCTGTCACTTGGCTCCAAGCCGGAGGTGGTCCTGCAGCAGCCTACAAAAGGCGCGACAGGTAATGCGGTATACAGCGCTCCCGGCACCTGTTCCGAGAAGCTGCTCGCATCGCTGAGCAGCGAATTGGGGTGGTTTGAGGCAATCGTTAAAATCTAAAATGTGTGCAATAAATTCCAAAACAGCCAGCGTCATAAGTTTTGTGAACCCCTCTTTCTAGCCGAACAAAGTTCTGCTGATCGGAGTCTTCGTTAAAAAGCTTTGATTTTCAAGAAAACAGCACTAAACGAGACAGGGTTTTTGGTATTTTTTAGAAAACCATAACTTTTTATGGAGGCGCGATCAGCAAAAGCTTTGCTCACTCAGAAAGAGGAGGGCGGAGAAGTAATGCCTTTGACTGTTTCTGATTTTTGCACTGTTATTAGATTTTCAATGGGCTTCCCCTCAAATAAACGAGTCTGACATGATTTTTCCCATTTTAATCTCTGCACAGCACTTAGTGAAGTGTCAGGTGTCATTAGAAAGCATATCATTTATTCTTTATAATAATACTAGCTGGCTTACCCGGCTCCGCCGTATCCGGACCAAACTTGGCACACATACACTTCGGGCCCCGGCGGGTGTCACAGTCCACTTTTCGTTATCGATCGATGTCGATTTTACCGATTTTTATCGATTTTTTTTTGCAGAGGTCACCTACAGGGCTAGGACTTGGCACAGGGGGGAAGTGAGCATGGGGATTCCGAATACAATATTAGTTTTCAGAATTATCGATTACTTTTATTGATTTTACCGATTTTTTGTAAATTTTGACATGCGAGGCTGGGATTTTGCACAGGGGGGTAATCGAGCATGCTGATTACGAACACAATATTAGTTTTCAGGATCGTCCATTACTTTTATCGATTTTATCGATTTTTTGTAAAGTTTGACCTGCGGGGCTGGGAGTTTGCACAGGGAGTAATCGAGCATGCTGATCACCCCCCTTGGGGATGATCAGCATGCTCGATTACCCCCCTGTGCCAACTCCCAGCCCCGTAGCTCAAACTTTGCAAAAAAATCGATAAAATCGATAAAAGTAATCGATAATCCTGAAAACCAATATTGTATTCGGAATCCCCATGCTCGATTACCCCCCTGTGCCAACTCCCAGCCCCGTAGGTGAACTCAGCAAAAAAATCGATAAAAATCGATAAAATCGATATCGATCGATGACGAAAAGTAGCCTATGACACCCGCCGGGGCCCGTAGCGTATGTGTGCCAAGTTTGGTCCGGATCGGTTCAGAAATGGAATTTTCTATTCGGAACATACGTACACACAGACATACATACATACATACAGACAAACAGACATTCAGCTTTATATATAAGATAAATACACGACTTGGCATCCCGCGTTCCACCCCCGTTCGGAGCCAGATCCGTGCTTGACCTTTCATGTAACGAAACTTCCCTTCCTTTGATGTCAACTCGTCTCTTGGGTTCGCTTATTACCGTCTGTGATATATCTCGATAACCACAGACCAAAATGAGCTTCATCGCTCATCCTTTATGACTATGCGAAATGTGTACAGACATACAAATTTCTGTTAGATATATATATATACATAAAGATTAAGACAGGGAGAAGTTACAATTTTTAAAAATGGCGCGACAGAATTGTTCCAACACAATATTATCTTCAAGGCCGAAGCTGGAAAAGCTCGGAAAGGAACTTAGAAAGTGAAGTTTTCCACAACTTCTTATCAGATTAAAGGTAGGAATTGCTCCATCGTCGGTTAAATAGCGAGTAGCGAGAAAACCACTTTTTTTCTTTCAAAGAATCCATGAAGTATTGCGTGGGCAACAGATGCATGTTCAATCTTTTTCCCC